ATGACTGATGTTAAACTATGTTTCATTTCCAGAGCTCTAGAAAATTCCGAAGGAACCGACGCTGGCGCTGACTTAACCCTTTATGTGTGCATTCACAGAAGACCACGAAGAATAATAATTATTATTTAAATCAAAATAGAAAAAAAAGTAAAAAAAAGAGAGACAAAAACGTGGTGGCATCTTAAAGATTGTATGTATAAATGTTTCCCATGTTGAATCTCTTTCTCTTATACAGTGGGGTCTTGACTTGAGAACTTAATCCGTATTGGAAGGTGGTTCTCAAGTCAAAATGTTCTCAAGTCAAATCTGCATTTCCCATAGGAATGCATTGAGAACCATTTGATCCGTATCTGCTCTTTTCTGTCCATAGAAACTAATGGGAAGCTGCTATTCCACCTTCGACCATTAGAGGGGGATATTTTGTTTCTTTTTTTTCTTAGGTCAAGAAAGGTTCAGGGAAGGCAGGGAAAATACAGTCCAGGCAGTACAGTACCAGGCAGTCCGAAGACTGTCTCCCAATCCACTCTCTAAACGCTGGGAGGAGTGAGGAAGCAGACAGGCACCCTTTTCACTGGCCAACAGTTAACTGAAAGTTCAAATTTTGCACTTTCCCTGCCTCCCACATGGTTTTTTTTAGTTCTTAACTCAAATCTAAGTACTTAAGTCAAGTCAATATTTTCCTATGACAGCGGTTCTTAAGTCAAAATGTTCTTAACTCAAGCCGTTCTTAAGTCAAGACCCCACTGTATCTGAAGTGGACTTGTCCACAAAAGCACACACTAAAAAAAGTACTTTTTACCTATAATGCTTGGAATGGCTACGTGGTGCTGCTGCAGTTTAAACAGCAGAAACCTCTGTGCTGCAAGGTCAGAAGACCAGCAGTCATAAGATCAAATCCATGTGGCAGAGTGAGCTCCCATCACTTGTCCTAGCTCCTGCCAACCTAGCAGTTCAAAAACATGTAAAAATGCAAGTAGATAAATAGGTACCAGCATGGTGGGAAGGTAATGGCATTCCGTGTCTAGTCGCACTGGCCACGTGACCACAGAAACTGTCTATGGACAAACGCTGGCTCTATGGCTTGGAAACGGGGATGAGCACCACCCCCTAGAGTCAGACACAACTGGACTAAATGTCAAGGGGAACATTTACCTTTAATTTTTTTTGCAGGCAATGCGTCGAGCAAAAGTTATTAAGTTTAAAATTGGTTCTGAGGTTTAAATGAACATAGAAGTTCCAAAGCAAGAGGGATTACAATTACTATTTCTAAAAAAACTTTGATTTTAAAATGAATGTGTGTGAGGAAGCACAGGAGAGAGGAGAGAGACCCAGAAGTGAGCCATCCCCAAGGCTGAAGGATTCGAGATGGTCCATACCTTTTACCCACAATGTGTCAGGATAATAAAGGCAGGAAATTTGAAGGAAGTCAGAGTGGGAAAGCAAAAGTAGAAACTCCACCAATCACTGAGAGTTTCTTGACCATGGAGGAGGCAGGAGACATAGAATGCTGGGGAGAGGAGACAAAAGAAGAGGAGACAGAAAAGAAGGGAGAAAAAGCTGAGAAAGGAGGATATTTGGAGATGGCTGGAATTAGAGGACCCATGGTCCCAAAGAACAGATGAAGGAGATAGAGCGGAGGCAGAGCTATCAGCCTATAACTAGGTACAAGCCCGAGAGTCAGAGAGGGCAGAGGAAGACTAAGAATCATGAGTGAGGGAACAGATTTACAACTTGAGGGACCTGAAACACTGGAATGGACCACGTATGTATATACAAAAGGGAAAGGTCCCTGGAAGAAGGAAGGACGCCCAGTGGTGACCTCATGCCCGATTACACTGCAAGGAGAATGGACACCCATGTTGCAAGATTATCTGTGCCAATTGAAGAAAACCTCTAAGGAAGTCTATCAGTTGGGAGAGGTTTGAAGTACAGTGGTGCCTCCACTTATGACCATAATACGTTCCAGAAGATGAGCATAACTCAAAATGATCATGTTGAAGCATCATTTCTGATAGGAATGCATTGAAATGCAATTAATCTGTTCTGATTGAAGAAAAAAATCACCTAAAAAATCACTGCAAGTCTCATTGGAAAGGCAATTAATCCCTTCTGGCCGAAGGGGTGGGGGAAGCAATCAAGTGTGCAAGACCCATTGGAAATGCACCAAAAACAAATGTAGCAGATTGGAAATGCACAGAGAACAAAGGGGGCAGGTTGGAAATGCAAAGAAAACAAAGGAAAAAGCAAGGGAAGCATGCAGGACCCATCAGAAATGGTGGAAAAAAACCCAAAGCAAGGAAACCCCCCCCAAGACCCATCACAGCACAGAAACATAACCCCCCAGCTCAAAATCACGCTGCAAAAACACCCAGAACAGTTTTTAAAAAGCAGAAAACATCACCTTACCTTACAAGGCAGCCTAAAGCCTCCCTGCAAACACACAGACAGGCTCTCAGAAGCAGAAGGAGGCAGTCCCAAGCCTCCGACAAGGACACTCTCTCTAACTGTTGGAGTGAAAGAGGTACAAAAAAGCAGCCTCATCGCCACCTACAGTTAGAAATTTGAATTCCCCACCTTTTACCCATGCCTTTTTCTGTTCGTAAGTGGAAGCTCTGGTTGCAAGTAGAAGCAACATCAACATTTTGCAGCCAGAGCTGGTCGTAACTTAAAATGGTCGTAGAGACGTTCGTAAGTTGAGACACCACTGTATACCCACACTGAGAACATTGTTTCGGACACTGGAATTGGGTTGTTATTGGACAGCTTTACCACAAGTTGAGGGTCATGCTGGACCAACAAAAGTTGTTGAGCATGAAAACCCATTCAAGGTGAACTGAGGGAGGTAAAACAACATGTAGTTGCAAATTGTCCTAATGGACTTATTAAGAAGAGTGGCAGAAACACTGGTAAACAGCACTGTGCAAACTCAAGGGTTAGGCAATAGGATTCTAGATAAATACTGGTAAACAATACATTAAAGATGAAGATATATTAATCAGCTGCAGAAAACCAGCAGAAAAACTACCGTCTGAGAGACTATAGACTATAAATCCAACTAAGACGTTAAATTGGTCCATTGCTACTGCCACACACACCCAGTTCCCGTTTGTTTTTATACACACCCAGGTTCCCTTTTGGGAATGACATGTACTTTTTACCCTTTTTCGCTGCCACCAGAGGATATGTTCCTCACTGTACCAAATATGACTAGTAGATGAGTGTTATCCAATATAACAATGTTTATTTATGTGTTTATTTATTTATTCTACTTATATCCTGCTCATCTGGTCCCGCGACCACTCTAAGCGGCTTACAGACATATAAAATAACAAGTAAATATAACAAAAGAAATTATTACATTAAATGACCAGTTCTTCAAGATGGAGAAGAAAAAATAGAAAATAAACAAGAAAGAGAAAAGAATCAGCTATTAACTCGAAGGAAGGCCTGCCTGAACATCCATGTTTTTAATTGATTTTTTAAAATACACAGCGAAGGGGCCGCACGAATCTCCGGAGGCAGATTGTTCCAGAGCCAAGGAGCTACCGCCGAGAAGGCCTGGTTTCTTGTTTTTTCCTTCTGGGCCTCCCTCGGCATCAAGCTCCTCAGCCTCACCTCCTGACTCGCTCGAGTGATACGAGTAGATCTTGGTGGGAGTAGGCGTTCCGCCAGGTATCGAGGTCCTAAACCATTTAGGGCTTTATATGTAAGCATTGGGACTTTGAAGTCAATGCAGAACCGAATGGGCAGCCAGTGCAATGCGGCCAGAATAGAAGAAATATGATGGTATTTTCTTGCTCCACTAAGGAGTCTGGCCACCGCATTCTGCACCACTTGGAGTTTCCACATCAACCTCAAAGGTAGCCTCACGTAGAGCTGATTACAGTGGTCTAATCTTGTGATTATGAATGCATGTACCAAGGTAGTGAGCGCCCCCGTGTCGAGATAGGGTGTCAGCCCAGCTATCCACCAAAGATGGAAAAAGGCGGTACAGACCACCGATGCCACCTGAGTCTCCATGGTGAGCGCTGGGTCCAGATGGATCCCCAAGCTGCGGACCCCACTCTTTGCGGCAAGGGTCACCCCCCCAAACAAGAATCACCCAAACCGCCAACAATGGGGGCACCCACCCTCAGAACCATTGTCTTGTCCGGGTTCAGCCTCACTCCTTTTTCCTGCATTCATTGCAGTTTATAGGTAAATCATATAAAGAAAATCATGGATGGTCTTTTATTATTCATTCAATAAACTTTGCTTTGATTACATTTAAGTTTGCTTATGTAGATTCACTTCAATCAAAGTATTTATATATTCAACTATTTACTTATTTCTTAACACGTTTAACTCTGTCCAATCTTAATCACATAAACTTTCCAGATTTGTCCTATTCCTTTGTCTTTATCTATCTCTCTATTACTGTTCTCTCTAACACAACTACGGCCCTAACTGCCTAAACTGCCATTAACTGTCTTTCTCCTTTTTCCCCCCCTTGGTTCCGCCTCTTCTGTCATGTCATTGGCTCCCACATCAGCTCTGACCTGGCTAACAGGAGTGTTCTGAGAGGTGTCCATCACAGCTACCATTCTAAAAATGATAAAAATCAAGACTGACAAGTTTGCAAACCTTTTATTTTCCTCATTCTTATTTTACTGTTCTTGGCTGATGCCTCACCTTCACCCCCAAACTCCTCTCCACCAACTTCTGAGGAGGTCTCCTGATTGCTATTCTCCTTTGAGTACATCATGGAAGACTCCCTGGAGAGACAGACTAGCGGAAAATGGAAGTGCTTTCCCAATTTCTGAGCAGAGTGTTAATTCCCAGGGTATCCATATGTTAGAAGATACTTGATGGCATAAAAGGTCACCCCTACTTATTCATGTTCCTTTCTAAGAACAGGTCAACCTAGCTAGCTAGCATTAAATGCCACTGCTATTGTTGACAATCTTTCCACAAGTAAAGCTAGTAGTCAAACTGAAACTCTTAATACAATCCATGCAGAATTCAAATGGTCTCTCCCATGTGTGAATTCTTTGATGAACAGAATGAGCATAGATGTTCATGCAGCTCTTTCCACATTCCAACCGTCCCACATTTACAGTTTCTTGTTTTCCTTTTTTTGATGGGAACGTAAATTTCTACACTGAGTGAAGGTTTTGCCATATACCTTATCTTTATATGGTTTTTCCCCCCTGTGAGTTTTTTGATGAGAACTAAGCTGGCTACTTTGGCTGAAGTCCTTTCCACACTGCATGCATTTATATGGTTTTTCCCCTCTGTGAATTTTCTGATGTCTATTGAGGTTGCTGCTCTGGCTGAAGTTCTTTCCACACTGTGTGCATCTATACGGTTTCTCCCCACTATGAGTTCTTTCATGTCTAGTGAGGATATTGCTCTGACTGAAGCTCTTTGGACATTTATTGCATTCATATGGTTTCTTTGTGTGAGTTCTCTGATGTGAACTAAGGCTACTGCTGTCAATGAAGGTCTTCCCGCATTGCATGCATTTCTCTCCTATGTGAGTTCTCTGATGTAAAGTAAGGTTACCACTGCAACTGAAGCTCTTTCCACATTCCATGCATTCATATGGTTTCTCCCCTGTGTGAGTTCTCTGATGTAAAGTAAGATTACTGCTCTGACTGAAGCTTTTCCCACATTCAGTACATTCATATGGTTTCTCCCCTGTGTGAGTTCTTTGATGTGAATTAAGGCTACCGCTACGACTGAAGTTCTTTCCACATTCCATACATTTGTATGGTTTCTCCCCACTATGACTTCTTTTATGTGAACTAAGGCTACCACTATCATGGAAGCTCTTTCCACACTCCAGGCATTTATATGGTTTCTCCCCAGTGTGAGTTCTTTGATGCGAACTGAGGCTACTGCTGTGACTGAAGGTTTTTCCACATTCCATGCATTCATAAGGTTTCTCCCCAGTGTGAGTTCTTTGATGTGAACGAAGGTTACCACTGCAATGGAAACTCATTCCGCACTCCATGCATTCATAGGGTTTCTCCCCCGAGTGGGTTCTTTGATGTGAATGAAGGTTACCACTGCAACTGAAGCTCTTTCCACATGCCATGCATTCGTATGGTTTCTCCCCTGTGTGAGTTCGTCTATGCAAACGAAGGTGACTGCCATCACTGAAGCTCCTCCCACATTCCGTGCATTCATAAGGTTTCTCTCCAGTGTGAGTTCTTTGGTGTAACTTAAGGGTATTAGGGTGAGTGAAGCTCTTTCCACATTCCACACATTTATAGGGCTTCTCCCCAGTGTGAATTCTTTGATGTGAACGAAGGTTACCACTGCAAGTGAAGCTCTTTCCACATTCCACGCATTCATACGGTTTCTCCCCAGTGTGAGTTCTTTGATGTGTACCAAGGTGATGTTTGCAACTGAAGCTCTTTCCACAATCTGTGCATTCATATGGTTTCTCCCCAGTGTGAGTTCTTTGATGTAAAATAATTTGACTGTTCTTAACAAATATTTTTCCGCATTCCTTGCATTCAAAGAGTTTTTTCCCAGTGTGAGTTCTTTGATGTAAAGTAAGGTAATTGCTTCGGCCAAAGCTCTTTCCACACTGGAGGCATTTATACTCTTTCTTCCGTCTTTTTTCCTGGGGAATATGATCATTATGATTTTCCATACTTTGTTTTGGTGTTTCCTGCATGTGGTGTCTGCCATGTTTGTTTAAATCTGAGGTACAATTGAAGGTATTTCTGTGCAACGGATAGTTTCTCCTTCCTTTTCTTTTTGGAACTATCAAGAGTTCACTAGCATCAGAACCCTGAGAAGTGGCACATATATTTTTCCCTGCCTTTGGCGGCCGTCCCCTCCGCTTTTTTCCTCCTTCTGGATGTGGATTTTTTTCTTTTCCTGCTTTATATTTGGTCCTTTTCAGTGACTCCATAGAATTTTGGTTGTCCTGTTTTTTACCTGATGGAGAAAAATGAGAATTAGGCGGTGTTGAGCAGTGAAGGGACATGCATTGGGAATCAAGGCAATGTTTTTTGTTTGTTTTATCTTTGACTGTCATGAGAAAGGGAGGAACTTGATAGTGGCACCAAGGACAGAGGAAAGGGAGAGCAGAGATCATTGTGGCTCAACTCCCTTCCATTTGTGTGATCAGACAGAACATTAGTAGGGCCAGGATACATAACATGTTGGTTGTGAACATTTCTATTTTTTTAAAAAAATCACTAGAAACAGAAGAGGTTTTAGTGGGCTGACATTCCTAGAGAATTGACAAGCGACAGCATGTGGATTTCCTGAGTCCTTGTGTCTAGACTAGCAATTCTCAACCTTCTTTCGGCCATAGCCATAAACACAATATGAAAGAAATGTAAGCCAAATCAAGACTGTAGGAGTAGCTTAATGAATGTGGGTGTATATGAAGAATGGTTTCAAGGCAGGGCCTCTGTGAATTGTTATTTGAGTATTGCTTGCCTCCCCTTATTTTCCTCTCAATATAATTGTAAATGGACTGTTTCACCTTAATGCTTTAAATGTGTTTACTTGTTACCCACATATGGTCCATGTTTTATCCTTTTTGTATTTATACACTCACCGTTGTTAGCTTTTGTCTTTTAATGATGTAAACTACCTTGGGTCCTTAAAGGAGAGTTTTGGTTAAAAGTATTTTAAATAAATATGATCCTTAGTGATGTGTACTGATGTAGTAATTACTAAATACTATGAAATGTAGTCAGTCATATTTAAAATCTTTCAGAAGTATTTATTTCTGACTGTAATTGTTTATGGTTACAAATTTCTATAGTTTCTGAGTGACAGTTACTTTTTAGAGGAAAGGAATAATAAATAAAAACACATACTAAGTCACAGGACAGATCCTGAAGCTGAGGCTCCAATACTTTGGCCATTTCATGAGAAGAGAAGACTCCCTGGAAAAGACCCTGATGTTGGTAAAGTGTGAAGGCAAGAGGAGAAGGAGACGACAGAGAATGAGATGGTTGGACAGTGTTACTGAAGCTACTAACATGAATTTGACCCAACCCCAGGAGGAAGTGGAAGACAGGAGGGCCGGGCATGTTTTGGTCCATGCAGTCATGAAGAGTTGGACATGACTTTATTACTAAACAACAACAAAGAATCCCCATTGATTCAATGGGCGTATTCCAGCAAGATTTTCCACTTTAAACAGTAAGATGTTGGTCAATAAGTTCCAAAAGATTTATGCTCAATCTTCTCTGCATCCATCTTCTCCCATCTCTGCCGAGGTCTTCATCAGCTATCTTTTGCCCAAGTCTCTTCCAGAAACTGTCTTGATTTCTCTTCTCATGCGGCCTTCATGGTCTGATCAATGCCTTTCTCAGAAAGGCATGTGTTTATCCCAGTTGGATCAGGTCAGGGTCGGCATTAAGAGTCTTAGGCCATGATAAATCGAGAGCACCTGAAACTGGGAAAATAAAGTGATCCCACTTTGTTCAATATTGCTTTGGCAATATGTTTTGTACAAGGAACCACCCACAGCCATTTCCCATGGATTTGTCAAAGGATCATGTTTTTGGCCCTTTGGAACCCTTTGTTCACTTGTTACTAATGATGAGGGGACTGGGAAGGAGGTGGGAGAAGGTTGTGGGTGGCAACGTACCAAGAGGTTTGTAAGTCATCCCAAAATTCATTGCTTCGGGAAAGTTCAGATTGTTTGGTTTGGACAATCCCAAACTGATCTGGAGCAACAAACTGGCTATTTACTAATTTCCTGATTTGTTTTGGGCTTTATACCCATCTCTATTGGTTACCTCCCTTCATTTGTGGGGGATTCACTCTGTGTGAGTACAATACTATCAATGACCTGATAGCCCTTAGGATGTCCTTGTGCAGAGATTTCTAGACTAGTTCCAGAAGACCTCAGTCTCTGTTGAGCAAATACGTGGTCATCTCCTTAATGGACTCTGGCTACTTAATCCCACCCCTGAAGCTACCCGTTGAGTGGTTTTGAAAACAACAGGTTTGGGATCAGGTGTGTCTCCCAGAAGTCTTTCCTATAATAAAGGAGGAATTTTTCAACCACTGGTTCATTTTTCACAAATTCAGCTTTAGGTCTAGTTACAGAGAGGCTTCCAATCCTAAATCGCTGCTTAATTGGATTTCTGCACTGTGGTTTAGAAGTCTACCTCTTTTAGCAGGCCACAGCCGGAAAGTTCGTCATGACTAATCTCACTCCGGTGCCTCAAAAACAAACTTAAATCTTGTAGAAGGTTGTTCTTCCTGACATTTCGCCAGTCTCTGTGGGTGGCATCTGCAGAGGACAGAAGTCAGAACTCTGTCTGTGCTCTGGTGAAATTTGTTTCGATAGTTGAGTATTTATAGCTGTGGGATCGGCTTTTGTCCTTTTCAGGAAATGGGTGATTGTAGACACAGAGACTGGCGAAACATTAGGAAGAACCTTCAGAACATGGCCAAAGACCCCGAAAAACCCACAACAACCATTTCCTGAGACATTTATGTTGTTTTCCCCTTCTCCTCTCCCTTTTATTTGAACATTCCTCCTCAGCAGGTATGATGTAGAATCTGCCAGTGACTCATCAAGTCTATAGTCTCCATTTTGGGACTGAGTATAACACCAGACTACACAGCTGAAGACAGGATTATTATTTCCTGAGACGTTCAATGTATTCTCGAAGGCTTTCATGGCCGGGATCTGATGGTTGTTGTGGGTTTTTTGGGCTCTTTGGCCATGTTCTGAAGGTTATTCTCTGTTGTGAGCGACATCGGTGTTTCACATGCTGTTTTACACTTGTCTGATAAAACTTTGTAAACTTCTTCTCAAAACCTGGGTTTCGATAGTTGAGTATTTATAGCTGTGGGATCGGCTTTTGTCCTTTTCAGGAAATGGGTGATTGCAGACACAGAGACTGGCGAAACATTAGGAAGAACCTTCAGAACATGGCCAAAGACCCCGAAAAACCCACAACAACCATTTCCTGAGACATTTATGTTGTTTTCCCCTTCTCCTCTCCCTTTTATTTGAACATTCCTCCTCAGCAGGTATGAAGGCTCTCAGTACAGATGAAGTTCTGGCCAAAAAGAAGCCCCTTATTTTAACCTGGTTTGCACTGTTTGACTGAAAAATGGAAAGCAAGCGTTTCCTCACCCTTCTGTTCCCGTTCTTGATAAACAAATCCACACAAACCATTTTAACCTTTTCTTGATTTCTCCAACTGCGCATCTACCAGTTTTCACCTGCCCTGTTTTTTTTCCTCAATGACACATTTTGGTATCCAAGGGCATGCTAAAAATGTTCTCCCCTCCCTCATTTTCCACATTTCCGGCCTCTCTAGCAAAATGAGGTCTATCCTTTTAATGATCTGGAAGACAAGAGTGGTAGAAACTCTCTCTTCCATTCCCTGAAACACTCTGTCAACTTTTTAGGGAATTTGCCTCCTCTGCCATTTCTTTCCTCTCCCCTGAAGGCAAAAGACTGCCTGGTCAACTTCACGTAAGGAGGAAATGAGGTGTTCTGACCCCTTCTAAGAGAACTGGGCTCGAGGAGAGAAGCTCTCTTCTTCTCCCTCTTCTAAGAGAAGTGGCCTCAGTGTGTAGGAGGACTCGAGGAGAGAAGCTCTCTTCTTCTCCCTCTCTCCACTTACCAGATCCAGGCAGATAAAACAGAAAGGAGCAAAGAAAGGCAGGCATGGCACGAGGAGAGCAAAAGCTGAGAATGAGCTGAGGTTAGCTAGGGACCCTAAACAACAACAAAAGGATTCTTCAGGTATATGCAAAGGCAAAGAGAAAGGAAAGAAGCAGTGGAGATGGAAAAACGATGACAAAGAAGAGACATAGGTTTTAGCTCACTCTTTTCCCAAAGGACAGAGGATGAACCTCCAGACAAATGGGAGGGGACAGGATTGCAGTTGGAAGTTGATAAACAAAATAGTAAGGGAACACCTTACACCCTTGAACGTGTTCAAATCTCTAAGGCTGGGAGAACTGCATCCAAGAGGACTAAAGGAACTGGAAGAACTCTCAGAACCGCTACCCATTATTTTCTTGAAATCATGGGAAACGGGGGAGGGAGGTACCAGAGGATTGGAGGCGGGCCAACATTGTCCCTATCTTCAAAAAGGGCAAAAAAGAGGAACCTAGGAACTACAGCTCAGTCAGTGTGACATCAATCCCAGGCAAAATTCTGGAACAGATTGTAAAGCGGTCATTGTGCAAGCACCTAGAAAACAAGGCAGTAAGAACTAGAAGCCAACACGGATTTCTTAAGAACAAATCCTGCCAAGCTAATTTGATCTCATTTTTTGATCGGATCACCTTCCTGACAGAGGGAGTGCTGTAGACGTAGTATATAACTTCAGCAAAGTTTTTGACAAAGTGCCCCATGATATTCTGATTAGCAAGTTAACTAGCTGTGAGCTGCATATAACAACTGTCAGATGAAAACACAATTAGCTACAGAATCGTACTCAAACTGGGAGGAGGTAACAGTTACGGGCTCTGTGTTATTCCATAATGTTATTAACATCCTGGATCAGAGGGTGCGGAGAATGCTAACCAAATTTGCAGATGACATATAATTGGGTGGTGTGCTAATACCCTGGAAAACAGAAATAGAATTTTAAATGATCTAGAGAGATTTCAGCGTGGGCTCTGTGTTATTCCATAATGTTATTAACATCCTGGATCAGAGGGTGCGGAGAATGCTAACCAAATTTGCAGATGACATATAATTGGGTGGTGTGCTAATACCCTGGAAAACAGAAATAGAATTTTAAATGATCTAGAGAGATTTCAGCATGGTGTGGGGAACGCTAACCAAATTTGCAAATGACACATAATTGGGTGGTGTGGCTAATATCCTGGAAAACAGAAATATAATTTTAAATGATCTAGAGAGATTTCAGCACTACCCTGAAAACAACAGAATTGAATTCGACAGAACGCGTGCAAAGTACTGCATCTAGGAAAAAGAAATGAACGCACAGTTACAAGATGGTGGATGCCTGGTTGAGCAACACTACAAGCGAGAAGGGTCTTGGAATCATCATACATCACAAGCTGAATACGAGCCAACAGTGTGATGGGGCTACAAAAAAGCCAAATGCTAATTTAGGATGCATTAAAAGATGCAACCTAGCAGTTCGAAAGCATGTAAATGGAAGTAGATAAATAGGTACCACCTCAGTGGGAAGGTAACGGCATTCTGTCTAGTCGCGCCGGCCACGTGACCACAGAAATTGGTTTCTGGCTCTACGGCTTGGAAACAGGGATGAGCACCATGCCCTACAGTCCGACACGACTGGACTAAATGTCAAGGGGAACCTTTACCTTTACCTAAAATATGCATAGTCTCAAAGTCCCACAAAGTACTGGTTCCTCTCTATTCAGCACTGGTTAGACCTCACCTTGAGTCTTGTGTCCAGTTCTGGACACGGCACTTCAAGAAGGATGCTAAAAAATTGGAACAAGTTCAGAGGAGGGAGACAACGGTGATCCATAGGGCTGGACACCAAGCTGAAAGAACTGGGCACGTTTAGCCCAGGCTGTTCTACAGAGGAGGGACAGGATCTGTTCTCCTATCATCTCAGAGCGCCGGGCACGCAACAATGGGCTCAAGTTACAGGGAGTCAGATTTCAGTGGAATATCAGGACGGCAACAGAACCAATGACCTTGAGAGGCGGTGAGGGCTCCAACACTGGAGTCATTTAAAACAAATTTGGATAACCATCTGGCTGTGATCTCGTGATCTGTATTCCTTCATTGAGCTGGGGTTCGACTCTGCGGCTCAGGTAACGTTCGCGAAAATAATTCTTAGAAATTCAACAGCACACGCTGAGCAGCTGAAGGATCGCTTCTCATTTTAAACGGGGAGAAACTGCATCCATGGGGACGGCGATGGCAGCAATTAGGTAGGAGAAACTCATGGTGGAAAATTAATACCAATCATTGTAGACTAATCTTAGAACTGTAAGGTGGGAAGGGACCCTCTGGACTACCGGGTCCAGCCCTTCTCAAGAAGGCACATTAGGGAACTGAACTCTCAACCTCCAACACCACAGCCAGAGGCCTAAACTCCTGAACTAGTCAGCCGTTTAGACCAAGTATTTCTCTCCAGCTTCAGTGACAGTGTCTTTTAAAGACGTGACTCACCTATATTAAGGGCTACCAGGACACCCACAAATTACAAACCGTTTTCCTCCTTGTTTTTATCCCAAAAGAGACATCTCGGAAGAAACACCTCTCTCTCTCTCTGATTTTGCCCACTCCCCTCCGCAGGGTGTCTGGCTTTGGCACAAACGCACAAAAATGTCTGCCCCCTTTCCGCCCTTCTCTCCTCCATCTGCACCTCACCTCAAGAGATGACTTTTTCAGGGGAGCCCTCCCAGGACCCTCCTCCGTCTGAAGCCCATCCTCGTGGGGGAAGGGTCGCTCCAGCCACCACAGGCTGTAAAATGAATTTCCAACCTCTGCCTTCAGAGCGAGAAATAGCCATAAAATGAAAGCTGCCCAGAAGAAGCAGGAGGAGACCCTCTGTTTATTCTTCCCCACCTCCCTTTTTCCCCCCTTACACACGGCTGCTAGGGCACACTGCCCCCCTGCCAGGGCTCTGTTGATGAAAAAAGAACCTGCAATCCCTTGTTTCCTCCCTCCCTTCCCTTGCTTCTCAGATGCGGGAGAGCCAAGCCAAGCCCACCCCACTGTTTGCCCACTGACAGGGAAAAATGAGCCACCCCGTTCTCAGAGCATGTGCTGTTTCCTACTGCAGGAATGTGGAAACCCAGATCTACCCGGATCACCCGATATAGCCAGCAGGGGCGGCTGAGGGGTCTGACGCCGAGAGGCCTGGAAGGAAAAAACAAGAAACCGGGCCTTCTCGGCGGTGGCTCCTCAGCTGTGGAATGCCCTCCCAACAGAAATTCGGCTGGCACCCTCGCTGGGTATTTTTAAAAGCCAGTTAAAAACTTGGTTATTCAAGAAGGCCTTCCCTCCAGTCAATTAAGTCTTTCTCTCTCTCTTTTTTTCTTTTTGCTATTCCATCTTGGTAATCCTCTCTTTAAATTAATTGTTTTAAATTGAAATTTGTAATTTTATGATTTTATATATTTTAAACTGTTTTGTTTTATTTTGTAAGCCGGCCCGAGTAGACATGGTCTAGAGGAGCGGGGTAAAAATCAAATAAATAAATAAATAAATAAATCAGGGACGCCACCGTATGTCCTTAGTTCTGCTCACCTAGAGGATTTGGCAGGGAAGTCCCATTCTGTGGAAGGAAATAGTCACAGACCTTGCCGTTCAGTGTCATCAAATTGCATGAAAGCATGTCGAAGAAAGCAGCAGAGAAAGGAAGCAGAACGCCTTTCTCAACCACAGAGAAGGCTTATTTTTCGTTCCCCGGCTGCTCTTGATGAGATGTCACCAGGAGCTGCCTAACCTTGGCTCTGACAAGCACTGGCAACGCAGGCAGGAAATAGGAAAAGACCAGATCTGGCCTCTCTTCCTTTCATTTTTTTCCCAGGCTGGGTTTAAAGGAGCTTCCCACGGAGACCACGGGGAGCCATGTGTTGATGGAACCTTTTCTCAATTTCTGAATCATGGATACCGAGCAAAATCTCCCGTGTTTGTGAACTTGAAGATTTTTAAGGAATTGAATCTTCTAATGCACCTGTTGAATAGCCCTTGAATCGATCCAGCTGGTGAACATCTGGATTCACCCAGATGACTGTTCCGCTTCCTTCCCGATTTTGAAGACAAACATTTGCTCTGCCTTAAAGTCCAGTCTGTGGTCTGAGCTTATCAGAACTTGCCTCACATCCAAACAACACTCCTCTTCTCTTGCTTTGTTATTTAGTCATTAAGTCATGTCCGACTCTTCGTGACCCCATGGACCAGAGCATGCCAGGCCCTCCGATCTTCCACCGCCTCCTGGAGTTGTGTCAAATTCATGTTGGTCACTTCGGTGCTAGCTACTGTCCGAGAGCAGGTGTCTCTCTCTCAAACCCCCCAAGCCATATTTTTTTACAGTGAGGGCCTTTTTAGAAATTTCATCAAATGTCATTGCTTTTCTTCCCCAACCACGGATTAACCTTCCCCAATTTAGTTCGGGGCACGGACCTTGCACTGATTCTCCATCCTAGGCTTTTAAAAAAGCACATTCTTGCTCCTATTTTTCCTAAGAAACATGTGGGGTTGCATTGTTCTTTCTTTACCCCACAAATGCACACCCTGTTTTTAAACGTCTAGGTGGAAGCAGAGTTCGGCAGAGCTCCTAATGACGAAAACCTGGGAAGGGACTCTCAAGACAGTGCCTGCTCCACCAGAGAGACCCCCCCCCAGGAGGCAGGCAGGGGACTTTGCAGCTGGATCGGACCTGATTTCAGGAGGGGAGCGTTCCCTTTTTATTTCCTGCCCACTTGTTTTCTGTCCCCTGCCCACACTAGAACCGCTTCGCATTCCCTCCTAACCCTAGGTGGGACTCCCAGGGAAACGCTCTTGCCTCACCCTTCAAACAAATCACCACTCTGCTCTCCCAACGCCTATTCTTCCGAAGACGGCTACTTTACCTTTTTGTCTCATTCTCTCCCGACACCACTGGCGCTTTCTCCCCACCATGGATGCTGGTATTTGATATTTGTCTTCCTAGAATAGAGACATGTAGGTATATATAAAACAACCAAGGAATTTCCTTTGGGGGCTTCCCAGCTACCCATACAATTTGCCACATCCTCTGCCTCTCTAGCAAACACAGCCCTGCTCTTTAAACCACTGGAAGGCCCGGTGAAAAAAATTTCTAAACACCTCCACACAAAAAAATCGCCATTTAAATTGCATGTCCCTCAACTTCCTGTTTGCCTTTTTCATTTCCTGTAATCTAATCACATTCTCCATGAGTGCCTGGTGGAAACCCCTAGGCCAGGGAAACTCTTAACGGGGTGAAAATCCTCACCTTCTGTTCTTATGTAGGGCCTTCCTTTTACAAACCAAAGGTATCCACCGAGTTCCAATCGTATCAGGAACCAACCAGGGGTCTGAAAGCACATATTTGCTTCTATGCTACTCTGCAGGCAGATTCTAATCACATCCTCCATGAATGCCTGGTGGAAACCCCTAGGCCAGGGAAACTCTTAACGGGGTGAAAATCCTCACCTTCTGTTCTTATGTAGGGCCTTCCTTTTACAAACCAAAGGTATCCACCGAGTTCCAATCGTATCAGGAACCAACCAGGGGTCTGAAAGCACATATTTGCTTCTATGCTACTCTGCAGGCAGATCCTCCAACCTAGTGGGGTGTTGTTCAGTTTAAGTAGATGTACTACTCAAGGAAAGCTGCAGAATCATTCCTGGAGCCCTGATCATGGATGATTACCTAGCAGGTGTAGCATCTAGCAGAGAAAAACTCAAATCACGGTTACACCCATTGTTTGGCTCTCAGCCTGCTCATTGCAGATTAAATACAGGGAACATTATTTTTGGAGCATGTGTGAATCTTAAAACAGGATAAAGGTAAAGGTTCCCCTTGACAATTTTTGTCCAGTCGTGTTTGACTCTAGGGGGCGGTGCTCATCCCCGTTTCCAAGCCATAGAGCCAGCGTTTGTCCGAAGACAATCTTCCGTGGTCACATGGCCAGTGCGACTTAGACACGGAACACTGTTACCTTCCCACCAAGGTGGTCCCTATTTATCTACTTGCATTTGCATGCTTTCAAACCGCTAGGTTGGCGGGAGCTGGGACAGGCGACGGGAGCTCACTCCGTCGCATGGATTCGATCTTATGACTGCTTGGTCTTATGACCCTGCAGCACAGGCTTCTGCGGTTTAGCCCACAGCACCACCACGTCCCTTTAAAACAGGATAGAAGGCCAGAATTCTCAGTGGGAAGAGCGAGCTACCAAGTCGAGCCGTCGGGGCGAGTAGCTTAAAAGGTCACAGAATGAAGTTGGCCAAATCAAAAATGGATGTATGATTCTGTGGACTTCACAATGACTCAGTCCTTTGTGAGTGTGGGGAAAAGCCGGCCATGTCACAACCATTTCAGTGTCCTCTTTGTCCCTCAACATGTCTCAAGGAAGTTCTCCTAAAGGCACTGTCTCCTGCCTGCAATGGGGCAAAAATTATCTGACATGCTTCTCTAAGCTTTACCGGGTATTGCACCTAGTAAAGTTTAGAGAAAGCTTTACTGGGTGCAACACCTAGTAAAACTTAGAGTAAAGCCTAGGTATTATTACTTGTATGGCAGGGCTTCTTAGGGCCCAAAGAAAGAAAGAGATCTCACCTGCTTTGTAAATGTTGGTGGGATCTAGATGTTGGTCCGGTTTTGGGTCCAGAGAAAAGCAAATAGAAATCAGTTTGATCTCGCTCTGTTCCTTTGGAGAAAAGAAAAAAGGATCAATCTCAAAGATTCTTAGATAAATGAAACCTTTTCCTTACACTACATGGTTTTCTGCTTATTACATCGGGGGGGGGGGGCTACATCTCAAAGTCTCCCTCCCTCGTTGGAGCACACACGGACAATAGAAAGGCAGCTGACAAAGGAACAACAGGGAGGGAGGGAGGGAGAAAAGGGCATCTCAAGAACCCGGAGACCAAAACTCCTGCATTAAGTAAATCAGGGAAAGAGTGAATAAGTGGGAACACGACAACAATAGGGACTGATTTCTGTTGACACAGAAGATGCAGGCAAGATTGCTTCCCCCGCCCACAGTACTTGAAACCCTTTCAAGTGAGCCAGTGTGGTGTACTGGACAGAGTGCTGGACTACGACTCGGGAGACCTGGGTTCAAATCTCTGTCAGGTAAGGAATGGCAATGGGGAACTCCTCCATGAACTTGCCTCAAAAACCCAGTTTAAGGTCATTGTAAGTCAGAAGCAACAGAAACATGAATGGCATCTTCTAAGCCAGTTATAAGTGGGTATTAGAAATCTAGTGAAGGAATGTCCTGCTACTGGGCACAAAGAATCATGAAGTTGGAAGGGACCTCTAAGGCAATCCCTGCTTGCGGCAGGGATACAAGCCAAAAGGTATCTGCTGGGTGGCTGTCAAAGTTTCTCTTGAATGCCTCCAGTGTTGGAGCACACACCACCTCCCAGGGCAATTGGTTCCACTGTCGCACTGCTCTAACAATTCCACCAAAATCTGGCTTCCTTTAACTTGAGCCCATGGTTCTGTGTCCTGCACTCTGGGATGTCAGAGAACAGATCCTGCCATTCTTCTGTAAGACTACCTTTCAAGTACAGTGGTGCTTCACATTACGACGTTAATTCGTTCCAACGAAATCACTGTAGAACGAAAACGTCGTAATGCGAAATTAAAAAGCCCATAGAAATGCATTAAAACCCGATTAATGTGTTCCTATGGGCTTTAAACTCACCGTCCAGCAAAGATCCTCCATAGGGCGGCCATTTTCGCTGCCTGTGCAGCGAGGAATCCATCCCAGAAAAGAGCGGATATCGGTTCCCAAAGCAGGGAACCGATCTGAAACCATCGTAAACCGATCGCTTTTGCGATCGCAAAAAGTTCGGCGTAATGCGGTTTTGTCGTTAAATGGGGCACCCGTCTTGGGAGGCACCACTGTATTTGAAAAGTGCTCTCCCATCTCAATCTTCTTTTCTCAAGGCTAAACATGCCCAGTTCTTTCGGTCCTCTCTGCCTGGAAAGCGGCAGAAGACAAAGACCATCTCCTGAGGCTACTTTCTCCTCCCCAAATCAGCATGAATAACCCTCAGACAGAACTTTTTCCATGGGTGGCATGTGTCTATTGTCACACAGACATTAAAACAAACAAACAAACACTTTTCTGAAGATGATGCCAAAACTCCTGTCCGTCAATGCCTCATGTGGGCAAGAGAGATGCCCAGTGCAGTAGGGGAGCCACAGAGCCATGCCAGGAACGGTTCATACCTAAGAATGTATGTCAGTTAAACATTTGTCGTTTGACAACCATTCCCTTTAGAAAAGACAGAGATGGAAACGACAAAGGCGATCGTGTGTGACCGCAGATTTCTGACGGGTCGCCTCGCCGTCCTCCTTGCCTCCTGCTTTCAAGGCGGGAAGGGAGGGCAGGTGGTCCTTCCGGCGGTTTCCATTCGTCCCTCCACCAAAAACAAAAAACGGAGGAAGCAGGAAGGGTCCGTCTTAGCCCATGAGGAGCGGGCCTTTTGTAAAGTGGATGGCTCTGAGTTGCGCATCCCAGAGCAAACTCCCCCCGAAAACACTGCTTGCAGGAAAGCGGGACTTGTGAGAAGCTCCTTGTTCCCGGGGGGAGATTGAGGCCACCCTCTGCCCAGGAAAAGAAGCCCATCAGCGTCTTGGGCTTTTCCCCCCCCCTGGCCTTCCTTTTGGGGAAAAGATCTTCCATGTTCAGAAGCAAAACAACCAGGAATCTCCTAAGCCAGGCACGGTGGAAATCGCAGTGGGATCTCCCTCCCCCCCCTTGAGACAGAGCAGGTAAGTTTGCTCCTCCTCTCTGACGAGGGATCCAGAGAAGAGGAGCTGGATCGTGAAGAATCCTTGGAAGAAAAGGGGGAGAGGGACCGAGGAGGGGGGGGGAAGAGGACCATCTGGGTCCCCAGGCCAGTTGCCTGGATCAGGGCCCCCTCTCCCTGTCAGCTGACCTC